TTTCTCTCCGTCTCCTGTTTCGTTGGCATTTCTAAACAAATGTCCGAATTTATATCTAAATTGCTTAATAGCCGAATAAATAATTTTCCACCTTCCGAATCTACAATGTCGTTAGTGTCCTCTGCAAAACGTTTGTCTTTGTCGGTTATATCTTTTAGTTTTGCAAAAGTGAGATTTCGAATATCTTGCGCGGTGAGGAAAATATCGAATTCCCGCTCTAAAGTTTGTTTGATATCCACCGCCATCATCGAATCCATACCGAGCTCAGACAATGGGGTGTTTTGTCCAATCGTTTTTAAATCTTTTATCCCTGTCATAAACAAAATGAAATATTGAAAGATGTTGATTGAACGTAAGCGGTTAATTATATGATTACATCAGAAACGAGGAAATACTTGCTCACAGTTTCGTAAGTTTTTGTAAAATATGTTGAAATTAAAAGATATCTCCATGAAATAACTTAAATGTACATGCTTAATTGCTTTATTTTACTCATGAAAAAACTATACCCATGATGTTCGCTACAGCCTCTTGAACATTCATAATTCTGCCAAAGCCCGCGCGCTTTTCAGCCACAACCATACTGCAAACGATCGGTCGATTCAGCATCAAAAAGGTGTCCAGTGAATCAAGACAGGACTGTATTCTTTGCTGCAGTGTACCGCCGATGATGAGTTCCTTATTGTTCTCTTGCATGTCGGCAACAAGTCCAACATCACCCACCGCGCCCCATTGTATAGCCATTCCGGGTAATCCGTCTTGTACTCTTCTCTCGCATATTCTCTCCATGATTGAATTAGCCATTCCATAATTAGTTTGCCCAGCGGTTCCTCGGCCGCATGAGACGGACGAAAAAACGACAAAATGTCGGAGATCGGGGCATATTTTCCTCGAGACCTTGTCCAACATCTTTGTGGCCATTGCCTTCGGCTTGAATGATTCTTTGAAAGATTCTGCGGTTTGGTTCTTGTAGATAGAATCTCTGAGTACAACCGCGAGGTTGAATATAGCGTCCACGGGTCCCAGTTCCGCAGCGGATTTCAAAATAACCGCACAATCCTTGGGATCGGACGCGTCAGCACCTGCAATGATTTGAATATTTACCCCGTAGGATTTCCATAATTCCACCCTCGAACGCTGATAGCCGTTTCGTATTCCGGTTCGCGAAGTCAGCAGTAGATTTCGGGCTCCCCGAAGAATCAGCCAGTCTGCTAATTCCAGCCCGAAGCCACCTAGGCCGCCCAAAATAACGTAAGATTTGTGCTTTTCGCAGAAAAATCGGGGGTGAGCGAGAATTGAATGATCCAATTGTTCATTTTCATCACAT